TCGCTTATTGCTTTATTATACTAGCACAGAGCTGAAGGCGTTTATGTCCTTATTCCCAAAATAGAGCCAAACCTCAAATGGCTGCCTACTCCCTACCTAGTGCACTACGAATGAATAAAACATTGGCTCCTCACCCAAACAGTGCGGAGCATGTCTAACACAAAGGCTATTTGCTGTATAGTGCACTATATAAGCAGCACCATTTTAATTACAGTGAAAGAAACATTGCTGGACTTTTAAGCCCATTGAAGTATTTGGCAACAATGCTGATGAATCCACCCACAGCCTGCACACTCAGTAATCTTCCTCTTGCTCTCTGAAGGCTTCACTGCATGGTTTCCATTCTGAATTAGAGGTTGATAAAATATGCAGTGATGTGATTGTCCTTGATATAAATACAACAACGAGAAGTTTACAACCTGTTGGAGCAAACTTTAAAAAATCATAACAAGAACCCTCTGGAGCACAGCTCTGGGGCAAATCTGCACGGTTGCATGAATTAAACTGAAGAGTTTCATCGATTTGATTTCATGGAAATACAGGACCTACCAGGGTTTGTCTTGGAAGAGTTGGAGAGGAAACATATGACGTCATACAACATGACGCTGTTTAACTAATTTCCCCGTTATATCAAAACAGAACTCCAAAACGCCAGTGGGCGCCCGCGAGCGAGTCCTCAATGAATGGGAGTAAATGGAGCTCTATGACTAAAAACGAAAAGCTAAAATAGTTTCTAATCACTCGCCCGAAACGTTCCCTTAATTTTAGAAAACAGAAGAATTTCTTTGCTTTTTTAATAAAATAAAATGTACCTTTATTTTTTCCTTTTTCTACACCAAACGGGTTTTGGGCAGCAGGACGCCATCATTACTGCTACTGAGTGCTGATTGGTTGGCCAGCGGAGTAGCTCATTGGCTGTTCGTGCTCACAGACGTTATGGACGTACATGAGGTGCCGTTTTAAACTCCTATAACTCGAGTTTAAAAGCTCTTAAAAATATAACAGCATAGTTCAAATGTTTATGCTATTCAATGTTCAGGAAAGTATTGTATTCTTTCATATTAAAAATGTTTAAGCATTTATAAACTACGATTCTGCTCAAATGCTCCATCTTAATCCGTTCATTTTGGTCTCACTCAGGTGCGCCCTCTAGCGTTTGAGAAACTGGATAGTGTTTTGTTATTTGTCAAGTTTCTAGTAGCCAACAATGTAGACGTAAACAAACTTCCGTTCACACTAAATGTGTTCTTAACTAACGACTCCCAACATCTACAAACTCTGCAGCACGTTTTCAAACAGCACTCATGGTTCCCAGGTGTCACATGCTAAGAACTATAGCTGTCATCCTTACATTGATAACTAATCCAATCAATCATTACATCCCATATACACGACTACTGAAACGGGGAAAGTGCCGAAGTACTGCAGGGAATACTGCACTCTTACGTTATTCCGCCAAGAAATCTAGTTCCTCTAGAGCAGTGTTTCTCAACGCTGGTCCTGGAGACTTTTTAGTGTGTTGCCTTCTCTCAACACAATCTAACAAATCAGCTTATTAACAACCCATTATTGGGTTAAAGTGAGAGTGTTAAAGCAGGAAAAGCACTAAAATATGTAGGACAGGTCCAGGGCTGACAAACACTGCGTTACAGTGTGTCATCGTTGCCAAGCAACCATGGACCGCTGAATGAGGAGACGGACGTTCAGTCGGTCCTGCTGTATATCGCGGTCCTTTTCATGGACTTTGTCATATAATGACGAACATAACATAACATTAGTACTGTTTAATGCAAAAACCTTCATTTATAAGTACGTTTTGGTCACCAAAGTGCCACCGCGACGACAATGCTAATTTTCACTACCGTCTCAATGCGATTTACAGTCATTTTTAGCACCAACCTAACGCCCCTCTTCCCACGCTGGGGCTCAATCCAAAACGGCTCCCTGACTCCTACATAGTGCTCTACGTAGGAATTTAACTACTGGCTCCTGCATCACAGCAGTTCAAAATATGGCTCAAAACGTAACCTAGTCATCTGGGACAGCCACATCCACACTGTACAAACTGCGCATTATGTAGCTGTAAAACCTAAAAATTCAAAACTTACATAGCGCATTATCCAGGGAGTACGGAGCCATTTGGGATTCAGCCTTCTGGGTTTCAGCCTGAATGTGACGCTAGTAAAGGCAGATCTGACTGAAACACTGACATTTGAAGCGTGCAAACCTTTCAAATGACATTATTTAGACTTTTACATTGCCGTTTTACACCGAATCATATCGTAGTTAAGTAACGCTACTGTAATTCAAGTCTGTGATATTAAAGACGGAGTTGTTTAGCATGTTTGCTATCTTTTAGCCTGTTAGCTAATCTAGCTGACCAGTCTAGTTCTAGTTAACGTTAAGAAAATAAGCTGTCAGCCTATCAGTTTAAACAGAAACGTGTTCTCACCTCATCAGTACACTCGGTGGTCCATGCGAGCAGCATTAGAGTCAGAGATCATTCCTTTAACAGCACGAGGGTTTTTCGTGACGTGGCGCAGTAATACAGACTTCAGTTGCTGTAAAGCGGTCATAGGTCCCCCAGCCAATCAGATGTAAGACCGGAACTATACGTTTTCTGAGTTTTGAGGCTGAGGCTGTTGGTCCACCGTGTCTTTTTCGTTAAACTGTTTTCTATAAACGTGCCTTTTTCATTAAACCATGGACTGTTTGGTGTTTCATACTAATTAATGTCGGGGCGGCTTCTCTTTTATTCACCAACGAGGAACAACGAAGTATTAATCAAATGATGTCCTATTTCACTGTAAAAATTATGCATCTTTTAAGCTTAAAAACATAGTGACCCGGGTAACTTAACTTTGTAATAATAAGTTAACTGAAGGATAATTCATATTTTATATTTATATTTATGTTAATATTACAAGTGATAGAAATGAGCGAGTTCTTAACAGAAAATAAATATAGAGCATTTTAGTTCATTTTTTAATTCTGGGTTTACAATAACATTTACAGCATTTAGCAGACAGTCTTATCCAGAGTGCTTGTTCACGAGGTCCAATACTTTGAAAGACTCTTTAGGCCCAATGATTTTGTTTTATCATGTATTTTGACAGTAAATATGTGCTTTTATAGTACACATTTAAAAACATAGAACATTGCCTCCCTCTAGTGGAGAACATTCGAACTGCATACTCAAACTAATGACCTGAGAAAGGCCACAGTCTCTGATTGTTTTCTTCATAAATATATTATAAGTCATATATATCATACACAAGCAAGCTGAGCGTGTCACAAGGATACGACTGAGAAACCAATATGGTGAACTTCAAAATACTGACTGAAAAAAACATTTTGTCCCCTGATTTGAGAAAGGGGTGGAGTAGAGTGGAAGGTGGGGTCAACTGGTAGACAAAATACTGCATTTTTATTCACTTTAATACATTCTTTCCCTCGGGTTTTCTACCCCATGTGCATTTGTGAGTGTTATGAAGCTGTGATCATGTTTGAAAACCAAATAATGTTGGTTGGTAAACTTTTCAAGGTAAACTCTATTTTAATGTCTTATTCATGCCTACATTACCAGTAGCTGTGGTTAAGCTCACAGTAGTGTAGTGAGTGTTTTTTTTCTTCTGTACTGGTGACAGGATATGAGAAACTACATGTGATGAACGGGGAACCAGCCCAGGCCCTGGAGCTCTACCTTCCTGCAGACTTAATCTGCTCTCATTTCCTCGTTAGGGTCCAGGGAATTTGATTTACCAGTGTTGATTTAACTTGTTTTACTCATGTAGGTCGAATTTATTTGACTAAAGTTGTTATAAATGTAATATAATAGGGTCCAGTTACCTGGAATTATTGTTGTTTGTGAACGTAAAGATAATTATTCAATAACATGCGCAATAAAACAAAATCAATCAATAGACAGACACTACAGCCTTGGCAGGAACATAACACAGAGATGTTGCAAAATATAACTGACTTTTATTTTGTAAAATAGACACATAATAAGAATGAAATTCTAGACTAATAAAACAAACAAAAAATAGTTCAATATTTGGGAGTTGCTAACATACAGTCTGAAGGGTGGTACATCTCCAAGACTGAACCCAGATATGTCCATTTCCCTTAAGGTGGAAGGTTTTATTTTTTTGTATAATATACTTTTAAGTATCAAAGGAACAATATGTGATATATTTACTGTAGTAAATCATACAAGAACCATGATGTGTCATCAGAGATTAAGGAAACATGCTAACATGCTAAGTTGAAATACTGTCTTCTTCGATAACAGTCCTACAGCCAGTACTAAACAAACTGGCTAGCAAACACTGCATGCTGCTGCAGCCATGGAAGCGAGCAAATAAACTGGAATAACAGAGATAACATCAGATTCTAAGCTAAAACGCCTCGGCATCCTTCTAAAGAGCTCCATGACCAGAGATGTAGTAAGACACACATAAATATGGGTGATGTATTTGAAAGACAGAGATAGCTTAGAGCCCAGAAAGACTTTAAGATGGATGCCGAGTTGACTGATTTTCTCCTGAACAGGTAAGCACTGAGCTTCAGCTAAGATTAGCTAACCTTAACTAATTTATCAAGGCTACTAGGGACAGTGAAACAGTAAAAACATTGCAGACATATTCAGAAACTGATCAATTTACAGTGTAGGACTCATCATCACTTGTCATGTCAAAGTTTAATGTTGTGCTTGTCTTGAGCTCGTTTGTATAGTTTCAGTGGCCTCAACCTGGCAACCCATGTGAGCTTCAAGTCTGGGGAGGAGGTGGTGGGCGAAGAGAACTCTCTCCAGTATTTTGAATTTGAACTGCAGTACCTATTTAAACACTTGCTGTCAATATTAAATGTTGTTCCTTTAAGTAAGAGAGAAGATGAACATTATGGCATTTTCTGTTTTCAGTTCTATTCAGTTCCAAGCATTTTTACATACAGTCTGGTCTTTTGTGTTCTGCTATGAGAAGAACATCAGAAGTTTGTTAGTGGTGACGTTTTCTATTCAGTCCTCCATCTGAAACTGATCTGGATGTGCAGTGATAAAGCAGGATGGAGATGGTGGCCAGGACCACCACAGCGGAGAGAACCAGTCGGACCACAAACTCAATTGAGCCACAGCAGTGGACACTGGATAAGCCTGACCAAGAAAAAAAGAAAGAATGTGTGTTTTGAAGGGACAACTCCAAAATGTATGATCATGCACATCAATATTCAGATTTCTAACTTTAAAAGCCACCTAGAACTCGCTTTTGCAGATAAACATCTTTGACAGAAGAATGTGTGCTGATCATTCAGGTCAAAAACTGGATTATATATTAAAACAAAGGCTCCTCAGCGTCAGTGACAGCACTGTCAAACAACAAAAGCAGCACTCTCATATAATACAACATAGTATGATGGTTCCTGACCAGCTCATACATAGAGCTGTTTGATGTACATAGATATAGATATATCAAATAAGGGCAATGTTTTAGAATGGCAAAGTCAAAGTCCTGACCTTAATTCTATAGAAATGTTGTGGAAGGACCTGAAGCAAGCAGGAGAAAACCCATCAACATAACAGAGTTGAAGCTATTTTTGGCTAGAATTCCTCAAGCCAATGTGCAGGACTAATTAACAGTTAACAGAAACGTTTAGTTGCAGTCATTGCTGCACAAGGGGGTCACACCAGATACTGAAAGCAAAGGTTCACATACTTTTGCCACTCACAGATATGTAATATTGGATCATGACCAAGTCTAATATTTTTGACTCATTTATTTAATTTGGTTATCCTCTTTCAAAATCCGATGAAGTTTTAGGTCAAATTAATAGAAATATATAAAATTCTAAAGGGTTCACACATTTTCAAGCACCCCTGTACACTTTTGTATAACATTATAGTTACTGCCTTAATAAGAATTATGTTATTTGCCTTACTTATATGTCTCTAACAGAGCAATATTAACCGCTTCTGTAGTTTCTTGGTTTTGAGACAGATTCATAATTTGAGCCACCTCTGATTAGAATGCCTTTCATTTAGTAACAAACATGATGCAAAATCAGAGTAATAATGATTTTAATCTACCTGTGTTGTTATAACAGCGTTCTGTAATGTTGAGCTTGGCTGTCTGTTTGCTAACTGGATTAGCAGCTACACAGGTGTAAGTAGAACATTCTGGGTTAGTTATATTCAGAGGAAGATGAAGACGTTCACTGGAATCTGAGCTACTGATGCTGGAGATTCTCTCTTTCTCATCATACCAGGACAAACTCACATCCTTCCCATTCTCCATAGAGCACAGAGGAGAACATGACTCTCTTTTTTCAGGTTGATTTCTTATGACTGGTTTTGATACTGGAGCTGTAAAATACAAAACAAAACATTAAAACAAAAAAACAGCACTGGAGAAGTTACACACAGAAATATAACCACTAACACGGCTGAAAATACCCTTAACTACGAACGGTACAAACATCAACAACAGTACAAAATGTCCAAAAAATGGAAGCGCAGACTCACAAACAGACCACTGAGGTTTAAGGAGTTAAAACAGGGCTTAAAAAATCCTGAAGAAACAACTTTCCCAAATGGTAAGATCAATACTGTTTTACAGTCTGAATCCAGTTCTGCTAATTCATCTTCTACCTCAGTCTATAGACTACAATGTAATATTTACTCACCATAGACATCAACACTGAAACTCCAGACTGAGATACTTCCTGTAATTATGTGTAGTTTATAAACTCCAGAATCTTCTCTGCTGATGTTTGTGATGGTTAAAGATCCACTGTTTCTGTTCAGCTGCAGTCTGTCTCTGAATCTCTCACTGTCATAGTCTGTAATAATCTCTCCTCTAATGATCTGACTGTTCACTATCTTTATATCTGCATTCTCAGGTCCATAAAACCACAGTATGTGAGCATCACTCTGAACTCCAGTTAATCCAGTATGGATGGTTACAGTGTTTCCCTCCAGCTCCTGCAGTCTGACAACCTCTTCTCCAGCTGAGCACAGCAGACCTGAAACAGTGTAAATAGATAATATTTGTCTACACATTCACATACAGAGGATATTCATTATCAGTTCATTTCTGAAGCCACTATCTCAGATAGTTCAAAAAAGTGACTGAACTTGGACTACATCAGGTCTTTTATGCAACCCTTTGAATTTAATCCACATTTAGTTGAGGTACAGCAGACTACTTGCTATGTGTCTACTATGAAGGAAGAACACTGCTTTTTACAGTTTTCTTAAAGAAATGAGCAGCCATGTACTTTATAAGAAAAACTAACACATTAAGGAAACGTGCCTAGACTGAAATGATGGAAGTAATTTCTCACTCCACCTTTAGAAGTCTAGAGTTATTGTCTTTTTTGACTTCTGTTTAAATGTAATTACACAATTACATGATTAACTAGTTAGTTACATAACTTTTACATTCAGTTTGCATTCGGCATTGATAGGACTGAGTCTGCATTTATGACTTTTCTTTTTTGCTTTTTAAGTTAAACAATGAGAAATATGTAAAGGTTGTTTTCTTTCCAAATAATGTTCTGTGCAGATCGTAATAAAATCTCTTATTTACAAAAACATACATACGAAGGTAAAGTTTAAAATCTGTGCTTTGACCAAATTATTCTTTAAATGTGCTGTGAGAGTAAAATAACTGATATTATTATAATGTGCTTTTCTTATAAGCATGATGTGTATAAGGCAGGGGTCAGTAACTCAAATGTTAAGAAGAGCCATTTTGTCCTCTCAACAAAAACCAAACAACCTTGGGAGCTGCAATATTTTATATCCATTTTACCATCTTGGTTGTAAATATGTGTCAGCATGTGCTAATGTACTAGTACAGGCTAAAAAATATAATATAAACAAAAACACAGACTTACTTAGCTGTGCTTAAGCTTAGCTATATCTGCTTTTCTCGCATCTCCGCAGGAAACTTTTTGGGAAAGTAGAATGGTATCTTGTAAAATTTCTCTCAATGTTCGACGTTTTACGAGGCTGAAGTCAACTTCTCATTTGCCAGCTTCTTGTTCTAATTTTCCTGTTCCACCTTAAATGGCACCAGAAAGTAACTGCTGCACCATTTAATGTGGAACAGCAGAACTGGAATAAGAAGTGTGCGTTGCAGATTAAACGTATCAGGAAATGAGCTGCAGTGCTTATAAATGAATAGCAAGCCTCTATTAAAGTCTTTCTCTTTGCCGTTTTGTTAGCTGCTAGCTAGGCGAGACTGTTGTCTGTGTTGCTATGGTGACCAGCAGTCTGCATGCCAATTTTCAGGGTTAAAGGGTGAATTAGTAGTTATATATTAACTCCAGCTTTCAAGACTATTTATTGTTAAAAACTGTGTTAGAACAATGTTGCGCATATTGTTGACCCCTGGTATAAGGAGTTTAAAATGCATCAGGCCTGTTACTCTAGAGCAGGGGTCTCCAACCCTCCTCCTGAAGAGCTGCCTCCCTGCAGAGCCTAGTTCCAAACAAAATTTGCCACACCTGCTCCAGATAATCAACCTCTTCCCAAGTCCCTGATTGGTTGGATCAGATGTATTAGAGTTAAGTAAGGGGTGGAGCAGCTTATTGGATACAGGTTGGAACTAAACTCTGCTAAGTTGCTCTCCAGGAGGAGAGCTGGAGACCACAGCTCTACAGCACCATCTACTGAGTTTTATATTTACACATTGGCTGGTATGTCAAACATCACTGCTTCACACGCCATTGATCTTTTACCAACTTATCAGTAACTCTTAGTTTTGACAAAACTGACTGATTCACATTCAGCAGAGCCACTGTATATGAAAGTGTTCCTAACTTTCATAACTTCAAGTTAATGTAATTATATTTTTTAGCAATTCTGGACAATTTCTGTTTGTTCATTAATCATGAAATGTTCACAAAGTGTGAAGAGCAGCTGATACTTTTAAAACGGAGCACAAATTTAAAAAGGAGATTTTGGTGTGACAGTGATCTTCAACTCTTGTCACCTTTGCTAACACTTTAACTAAACATTATACATGCACCCTAGTTACTCTGAAGGGTCACTGACCACAGAGCCCACAAAGGAAACGGGCAGTGCTGCAGCAGAAAGAGACTCTAAACACACTTTGTTCCTACATTCACACTTTGTGATTTCTAATGAGTAGTTGACTCTAACAGTGCAGTGTTTATAGAGCCAACGACTTCTGAATTTTAGATTTTTTTCAGTTGAGGACTGAATAATCCGACTACTAAACCTTGTTCATTTTACATCAAAATAGCTCCAAAATACTGGCATATATTCCATATGTTTCAAAATTCATGTCTGGCACAAATGGAGAATATAAGATGATTAATTAATGATTGTGTGAGATATTTTTAAAATAAAATCAATAAAGCTGCTACTGTTTAACACAGTATGGTTACATATACAGCAGTTAAGGACTGACCACTCTCACTGCTTTATAAGCAGCTCAGTTTAAATTAGTATTGCCCAATGATAAACCTTTTGCTTCTGAGGAATCTTCTTTCAGTTAGTAATTAACTCTGATCAGTTAGTTTCTCCCAACTCTCACTTTTAGTTTTAACATTTCATTTTAGGCCAGATGGAACCCAAAAAAGATTCTGGATGAACTAAAGTTCCACTGTAGTTATTTATGGAACATATTTAGACCTGATATATTTTAACATTGTTTTCGGCTCGGCTACTATTTCTACATGAATTATTATTCCATTGACGCAAGTACACTTGAGAATGACCCGTGACTATCAACCTTTGGATATTAGAAAAGATGCTCACCTGTGGTGTAGATGATTAAACAGATGAAGGCTCTCCTGCTGGAATCCATTCTTTAAGCATGTTGTGGAGTTTCTGTGCTGTTCAGCTCTCACTGTGCTCTCACTCAGTAGAGGTGAGTGATACAGACTCTCATCTACTGTCACCGTTCAGAAAGGAAGTGAGTGAACGTGTGTTAAGAGCTCAGCAGCTTCTAAGACGTAAATAAATGTCTCAGGTGGAGCTGAAGCTGTAATTAGCTGTTAACAAGGGTACAATGTATTATTGATGCAAAGCACCCTGGGCACCAGATGATCAGAGTCTGTGGCTGATCCACATGTACCACTGCAACACACACTAACATGCTACTATGTCAGTACTGAGAATGATGCGCCACCCAAATAACACCTGCTTTGAAGTGGACCTGTGGGGTTCTGACCCTTGAAGAACAGGGTCAAAAGGGGCTAACAAAGTATACAGAGAAACAGTTTGTGCTGTTGAAAGGAAATAAATTAACTGTTGATGTTCATTTGTTCTGTCTTCTTTATCTGTTAGTAATGTAACTAGTCAGGGTGTAACAACTTCAATAACTTGAAGAAGTGGTAACTGATCAGCAGATGGCGCTATTTGTATTTGTGCAGATATTTTAGAGCTCACATTCACTGGAAGCCCACTGTAAAAGTTCTCCTAATAAGATGCTGTAACTTTTATAATTAACAAATACTATTAATAAAACTTTATTTAACTGGTGCTTTGTGCTTCTTCAGTTACCCATTTTACAACAGAGCTTGTGCTGTCTGCATATTTTGTACATATCAACCTATTTTCTAGCTCTTAATAATTAATTTATTTTAACCCCTTGGCACAGGCTTTCATCGCTTACAAAGCACTTCCAAATCTAAAGTTGCCAATAATAGTATGACAAAGTCTATAACCAACCCAAGTGAGCAAAAAGAAAATATGAAAGTCAAGCAAAACAAAACTATTAATCATTAATTCACAATAATCAATGAAGGGTAATGTTAAGCCTATGCACAGTAGAAATTCATAATAATAACCAAATGAAATGATCAAATGAAGAGCACTTTTAATGTCTATGAAAGTTTTTACATGTTAAACCTAGTACTTATCCAGGTATGATGTTATTTTAAGTAATCTAAGCAACGTTGCTGTCATCTGTGTCTGAAACATACCTAACAGCATGTAGTACCTTCACGAGCATGAATAACAGCTGCAATTTTATTTGGCATGGACTGGACAAGTTTCTGGATGTAGGCGACATCAATGTTCAGTCATTCTTTCAGCAAAGAATTGCGCAGTTTGGCCAGATTTTGTGGATGCCTTCCCTGGCATCTTACTTGTTTCAGGTGGTCCCACAGATTTTCAAGAGGATTCGAATCTGGGGATTTTGCCGGCCAGTCCAGATGTGTGAATGCTCCTGAATGTTCATCATGCCAATCAGTCACATTTGTAGCCCTGTGAACACGAGAACTTTTATCTTGGAATACAGGGATAGAAATGTTATGTTCCTCAGTAAGATGATGAGCAAAAGGCAAAACCTGCTCAGTGTAGGCACTGTTGTTCAAATTTACTGTCACCTTAACCCAAGGACCCATTTCTGTATAATTAAAACACTCCCAGAACATCACAGAGCTCCTCCAGCTTGAGCCACATCTTGCACACAGTCCTCATTTAAGGCTTCCTGAGGTCTATGATGAACGTAAGGCCTGGCATCATTTACACACAGGCAGAAACAAGATTCATTTGTTTCCAGTTATGAACAGTCCAGTTTTTGTGTCTCTTCTGCCACTGTAACCTGGCAAATTTGTGAGCACTCTGCTCTATATGTTCATGGTATGCAGTTCCCTGTGGAGTGTTCCTTCAGAAATTGGTTGTGAAGGACTTGTGTTGACTTCTAGAAGGAATTCTTGCCTGGAATTGAAACGGTTTTTATTCACAAGCTGTGAAACACACCGGCAGTCCCTATCTGTCAGTTTTGTCTTTCTGCCACAATTCTGACATGAATTTCCTGTAGATTTGGATTTTTGCCACTGCTGGAAGACCTGTATGACCGTAAACTTCAAAACCTCAGCTACTTCCCTCCTACTATGGCCTTTGGCATGCCCAAATGCAATCACTCCTTTTTGCCCATCATTAACATGTGTTTTGTGACCCATTTTCCACACCTCAACTGCACATTCACTGCACTGTACCACCTTTTCTCAGTCTATGAATCCCGCTGCACACCCCGCAGGTACCTGATCATCCTCATGCAACACCATCTACAGGAGCCTGAAGTTACTTCCACCTTAAACACTCAAGGTGCTAATTTGTATTATGTGTATATGTCTGTAGTGTGTATGTATGTAGGTATGTGCGTGTGCGTATGTATGTTCACGTAGTTGTGGAACTATTTATACAAGTAAATGTTCATGTTGAAAAGTCCACAGATGTGCAGCCAAAAAACAGGGTGGGGCTGGATCATGAGGGATATAATACACAGCATGAGCTGAGGATTAACTCTCACCGAGCATTTGTTCTTGTTTCTTACAAATTAATGGAGCTGGAGTTGCAGCTTATTATTCACAGAGAAAGAACATCAAACCATTGTGTTCAGTGTAAGTTACAATTTAAATCACTAATTCTGTACAAGTACAAAGTTAGAGACGACCCTTCGTTTATTTAGGTTTCAGCCAAAATGACCATTATGTACAAGTTATTGAATTTCAATAGAAGCATAAGGAAGAAGAAAGCCTAAAAGCAGATTCCTTTGAAAAACTGAAAGCAAGTTTCTCTAAAAGAACGGAAACTGTAATACAGGCAAAATGTTAGTTGTTGAAGCTTCCACTCATTTTCATTTGAATACATGCTTTCTTTGTTTACTCTTGACACTGTAAAATGAATAACTTTCTTTTGCTTAGTACAGTACTGTATGAGCTCATATCACTCTCAAATGCACCCAAACATTCAATGACTTCACACATCACAGGTCAAAGGGAAGTGGTGGGGATTTGTGGGTAATGTGTGAACAAATTAAAAGAAAGTGTGAAAGGAAGCAAACACACTGTCAGTTCAGGTTCACCTTTTTATAATATTTTTGAGCTTGAGGACATTTTTGTAGTGATTCTTGTTGTCATCATGATGTTCCTTTAAACAGAGATGTTCAAAGTAAAGAATGGAACAGAAGACATGAAGAAGTGATCACATGCACATATATAGACTCACATAGAGTGGCGGTTGGTTAAAGGAAGGTAAGAAGGCCTAAACATCTCAAACTGCTTGCTCTAAATCAAACTCCACTCTTTTTATCGATCCCCAACTCTTAAAAGCTTAATTTTAAATTTGCATATAATTGTAATATTTCTTCTACATGAAAACAACCTTCAACTATCTAGATTCATTTGTCAAAAAGACACTAAAAAAGACAGAAAGGAGGCCAATTCTGTTAAAGCACCTTAAATCACTGTAAGATTTATGAGGTTGTCTCAACTGCGTTTAGACCCCCAGTGCCTCTGCATGCACAGTCAGTGCAGGATCTTAATGCAGCTCTGAAACTCATAATGGAGTCTGTGGGTTTCTGTATCTGGGGCAGGACATTGATCTGTACAGTGGTGTGCTTTGTTCAGTAGTACAGTGGCACGATTGGCTTCTTTACACTTTCACATATTTCAAGTATTCTATGTATTTTACAGCACTGAACGAAATAATATTTGGAAATAAAGCTGTAAACATGAACTTTATTACCATGATGCTCCTTTTCTAACCTTTCTGAGATAGTTTTCAGTTTTGTTAAGGCCAAGTGTTGTTACCTACATGATAAAGTCTATTAATGAAACTCATGGGACTTCTGCGTTCAGTCCTCCTGTATCTTAACCATAAAGAGTAAGTAGATATGAAAGAACAGTGAGGTACTAATTACTTACTCGAGCCAACTGAGACATTATAAAACTCCAACAACTCCAGTACTTTAGGGCTGGTGTCCAGCACAGTTTGGTGATGTACCTGCTGAAACACACTCATATGTTAATTGGCAGGTTTAGTGTTTGAGTAGGGAGACCTCCAAGCTGTGCTGGAGACTGGCTCTCTAGGACAGGAGTTGTGCACCCCTGCTCTGATAGGCCAGGTGTTAAATTGCTATATTTTATTGGCTAAGAATTGTGCACATGGTTGGCTGTCCAGGAACATAAGCAGCTTAGATTATATGATGATGAAGATCATCACTGTGAAATTCCATGAAGCCACGAGAGAGAGATTAGACAGTCCATTTTCATTAAAAAAGGAAAAAAAAATTAAATGAAAAAAGAAAACAAGTTCAAAACTATAAATAGATAAAGATAGAGAAAATTGGTAACAGCCATGCTTGACATGGAAGACCACCAAAACCATCTGAATGGATGTATAGCTGTCAAGAAGCTGTTAAGAAGCTGTTACTGAGAAAATTAAACAGATAAAAAAGAAGAAAATTTCAACACCAACATCAAAATTGGACATCTGAAGTGTGGAGTATGATTTCATAGTCTTGTGAGTCTTAATCTGTACTCTTGATAAGAATGAAAGGTATAATATATGGACCAAAGTATTAGGACACACTGCTAAATCATTGAATTAATTTTGTTTTAGTGAATTGGCCACAAAAGCATGATGTGGCAACCAGTCTGGGTGTTTTAACAGACATTGGAACATAAACCACTTTAGATCTTTTCTCACCACATTTGAACAACAGAATGCAGGAGCACTGTGATGTAGTTTGCTGTTATTTTTATTTTTATTTTTTGTTAGAGTTCTGCTTCTAGACAGTTTAGAGTGGAGCCAATAAACATTCCATGACTTTACTAGTAAACTGGAACAAGTTGGACCAGGCAGAGCACACCATTAGAAATGCGGAGCTACATTTACATAAAGCTGTGAAAAAACTGCAACAAAAACAGAAAGTAGTAAAGAATAAAACTGTCTTGTCCAGGTATTTAATTGAGAACAGCACAAAAGACATATTTAATATTTTATACAGTGAACTTTGGTGAATTTTTTTGTAAATATAAGTTTCAAATTTAATGCCTGCATCACTTTTCCAAAAACCTTGGAACAGCAGCAATGTAAGACAGGAATGACACCTGTTTTCAAGATTCCACAGGAAAACAAGTGAATAGGTAGCAGGTGATGCTATAATGGTTTCCCAAAAGACTCAGTCACCACATTGCATAAGCGAATAGATCAAGAGTTTAAGAGCAATGTTTCTCAACACATACTTCTGTAATGACAATAACAATGTGGGCTTGGGAAAAATTTGAAAAACCTTTTTCAAGTGAAAAAACAGTTTGTCACTGCATTTACAAATACTGTAAATACTGTATAACTGTACAAAGCCCACATATCAATAATGTCCAGAAACTCCTCAGACTTCTTTTGGCTAAAGTTCGCATAGAAACCTATACCAAATGCACTCTTTCTTTAATTGCTTTGAAAATCTTAGACACAAAATAATTTGTAATTGTTGTCAAACCAAAGGTGAGTGTGGCAATGAAGGTGAGGCACTGGTAGTAGGTAATGACCACAACAGATTCCAGAGTAATCTAAGGAGAAATGTGCAGAATTTAATCCCTTAAATGGCCAGGGCCCACTGGTGGGCCTGAAGTTTCAAGGGTTTTTTCAGAAGCAACATTAAAGTTACAGCCATTTTAAGGTTAAAAACAAAGCAAAAGGTACAGAAGCAAAACAAGATAATTTTTTATTATGCCTTATCAGTAGGCTGTTATTAGTGTTATGTTACTATTTTTTATTTATTAATTTCTTTTTTTAACTGAAACACACTGCTGTGTTTTACAGAAGAAACAGCATCGGAGTGGCAGAAGACCATTGCACGTTGGTGGTGTACTCAGCTAAAAGGATGTAACCAGTGTGTGAAAGACTCCTGGTATTCGGGGGGGTCCCATGTTGGCTGGCTACTCCAGCGTGGCTAGCTGCTAACTCATTCACTCATAGTGGCGCTGATGCTAGCTTCAGTGGCAACAAAATGTTTGGTTTAAAAATTCTTCTTCTCGAAAAGCTCTTTTCTAGTTTAGTATTGAGCTCTTCAACACATTAACTCAGATCTTACGCATTTGCTTTTCTGCCTTTGGTTTGAGAAATGAGTAACAATTCACAGTTTCCTTCACACTGTCAAATTGACAAATATACTACAACACATTGTAAGGTTTTTTTTTTAAAGAGGGACCCGAGGAATAGTTACAGTTTTTAGGCTATGAACGACCAACTGTGTGAACCAGTTT